CAAGAAAACCTTCTTCCAAAAGCATCTACTTCAGAAAGTAAAGTTTTCTTTAAGAAAATGGAAGGTGATTATTACAGATATTTTGCAGAATTTACTGTTGATGAAAAACGAAAAGAAGTTGCTGATAAATCACTTGCTGCATATACTGAAGCTACAGAAATTTCTAATGCTGAACTTGCTCCAACTCATCCAATTAGACTTGGACTTGCACTTAATTTCTCTGTTTTCTATTTTGAAATTATGAACGATGCTGATAAAGCTTGCCAACTTGCTAAACAAGCCTTTGATGATGCTATTGCTAAATTAGATGAAGTTCCAGAAAATATGTATAAGGATTCTACCCTTATTATGCAATTATTAAGAGATAATTTAACGCTCTGGACTTCTGACGCCTGTGATGAAGAATAAGTGAATTAAATGGTTATTTTTCGGTTTAGTATTTAGAAAAGATTACTTTCAAATCTTATTTTATTGATAATAAGATTTTAATTATAATTATATCATTATTAAAAAATATTGTTATTAAAATAACAATCAAATACATTATTCCATACAAAACTAAGGAAATAAAATGTTTTTTGAGTTTTGAGGAATTGAAAGATCAGATTAAAAGAACTTAAAAGAGTCATCAAATATGAGTGAACAGGAGAAAGCGTTAGAAGCCAAAAAGGCTGAAATCCGTGCACGTATGGAAAAAGAAATGAGAGAGAAAAGAAAAGCTGAAAAAGCAGCTTCAAAAGAAAAAAAAGGAAATGTTAGTGAATTAATTTCTGATATGAAAAAGAAAGTTGCCAATGAGGTTAGAGAAGAAACAGAAAAAGAATGGAAGGTAAAGGTTGAAGAGAAAGTTGTTGAGATTAATAATTTAAAAAATGAAATAAAAAGACAAGAAGAGCAAAAAGCATCTTTAGAAAAAGAAAACAATATACAAAAAAGTACAATTGAACAAAATTCTATTAATATCACTGAACTAAATGAAAAACAAAAAGAGTTACTTGAAAATATTGATAAAATTAACAAGGAAAAAGAAGTATTAAAAGGAAAAGTTGAAGAGTTAGAAAATGAAAAAAATGATATTAAACAAAAAAATGAAGAACAAGAATCAATTATTAAAACACTTTCAGAAGAAAAAGAAAAAATAGAAAAAGAATATTTAGAGGAACAAAATAAACGAAATGATGAAGAAACAAATAGAACTAAAGAAATAGAAGAATTAAGAAAACAAATTGAAGAATTTAAAAATATTCAAAGTCAATTTAAAGAAAAGGAGGATAATTGGGAAAAAGAAAAGAATAATCTTATTATAAAATTCGAAGAAGACAAAAAAATATTTGAATCTGAAAAAACAAAACAAATCATTGATGAAATTCAAAAAGAAGCTGAAGAAGAGTTAGATAAAAGGATTGCAGAAATAGAAAAAGAAGAAGAAAATAAAAGAGCAGAATTTGAAGCTACCAAAACAGAAGAAATCAAAACAGAAATGATGGATATGTGTATGAAAATGTTAGATGATATGGAAGAACAAACACGAAATGAAATTTATCAAGAAGTTTTAAATGATATTATGTCAAATGGTTTTGGAGATGTTTCTAATTTGAATGAGTCAGAAGAAATTAAAAGCAATGATGATAGTGATGAAGATTTATCTGAAGAGAGTAAACGTAAAATAGAAGAAGAGTTAGAACGTGAATTAGAAAGAGAGCTTGAACAAGAACAACATAAAAATGAAGAAAATACAACAATTAATAAAGAAGAACAAATTAATACTGAACAAGAAAAATTAAAAGAGCCAATTAAAACAAATGAAATAAATAACAATGAAAGTGTTGAATCTAGTCAAATTACCAAGAAAGAATTAGATAGTGATGAAGAACAAAAAGAATTAGAAAGGCAAATCCAATTACAATTAGAAAAAGAACTACAAGCTGAGATGGATAAAGAAAAGGAAGAGTCTCAAACAAACGTTCTTTCTCAAGAAAATTCAACTACTCAACATGAAGAAAATTTAATTGAACAAAAAAAAGATACAACTGGAATAACAGAAATTTCTGTGGAACCAACAAAAGATCAACAAACAGGAATATCTGACTCAGTCAATAATTTAGAATCAGTTGATTCTTCTAAAGAAAAATCAATACCTTCAGAATTACCAAAGAAAGAAAGTGATAAGTCAATAACTTTAGAAATAAATGATGAAAATAAAAAACCAACTACAACCCATAGAAATAGTCTTAATAACTTCTCAAATATAGAAGAAAATAATTTTGATGAAGAAGTACAAAAAGATGATACTATCAAACAACATAAAGTAAATGAAGAAGATATGAAGAGAAGAAAATCTGATGGTGCTAATATTAAAATTGAAATGTCAATGTTAGAATCAGAAGGTGGTTTAATTCGAACTGGCATTAGACCAAATAGAAAAACTGGAAGGCAAGCTCCGACTAAGAATTTACTAGAATTTAGAAATTCTTTACCAACAAGTAATGAAGAGTCTACTGTTGTGTTAGAAACTCATGAAGAATCCGTTGAAGCAAGTAATGAAGAGTCTCCAGTTAAAAAGAGAATGCCAGTTGGTGCAAGGGGTATACCAGGAATGCCAATGGGAGGTATTAGAATGGGAATTCCAGTTGGGTTTAATCCTGCTTCTGTTCAATTAAAAGCCACTGGTGGAAGAAGAAAGTCATTTTCTCAACAATTCAAAGAAAAAGTTCAACAACAACCAACAGAACCTCTTGCTATGGTTCAGCAACAAGCAGAACAAAAAGCAGAACAACAACGTCATGAACAAGCACAAACATCAGGAAATGAAAAACTAATTAGAAGAAGTGTAAAACAAAACGGAACAAAAGAAGGACCACCACATTTACAACCCCCTTCTGAACAATCATTACCTAAGCAAAACACCTTACCACCTAAACCAGCAGCACCAGCTGCTCTTCCACCAAAACATCATCAAAGTCTAAGTCCCAAGACAAGTTCTCAAACACAATTACAAACAACACCAGCTGCACCAATAGAACAACCACCAACACCACCAAAACCAGCACATCTGACAAGTAAGGAAGAAAAGAAGAAAAAGAAAGAAGAAAAGAAAAAAGAAAAAGAGAAGAAAAAATCTAAAAAATAAATCTTTATTTTATTCTTTAGTTTTTATTAACAAGAAATTTGGTTTTTTTTTCAATTGAAAGAACTTAAAAAGAGGAAATGGTATTTATTGTGTTAATAACCCTTTTGTTATTTGTTAATGCAGAGATATTTTCATTTTCAGTTTCTTCTTCCTCTAAAAAGTTAGTTTCATTAAAAGAATTCTCGTATGGAGAAAATGGTGATTTTTACATTGATATAAAAAACGTTTGTTTTAGAGTTTTTTTGAATGAACGTGTCAAATAAAGATATTTATCTGAAGAGTAAATTAGTTAAAGATCAAGATAATAGTTTTGCTGGTTTTGTGTTATTACCATCAGAATATTCATTTAATGATATTTGTATACTAACAAAGAATGGACAATTATCAGATATCTCTTCAAAGGGTTATGTCTTTTTTCAATTAAAAACACAATCAACATATATAAATGTAAAAAAAGGAACATATAGGCTTGTTTATTTTTCATGTGGAAATAAGAAAATAAAATGGGTTAATGCAAAAATTATTCAAGGATATACAAAAGATGGTATTTATCATTATCTGAGTTCTGGAGAATATCCAATGATTATGATAACAGAAATTTTTGGATTTATTTTATTAGTAGTAATATTATATGATTTGTACTTATTATATAAACGTGAAACTCATACTGTGCAAACTCTTATTACTGGATTTAGTATTATTATTTTCTTACATCTTTGTTTTGATGTCTTAACATTAAAAGCAACTGATTCTAAAGGAATTTCTAATATTCGATATTTTGATTATACTTTTCGTATAATAGAGACTTTGTCATTTTATATAGTTACATTACTTGTTGCTTCTGGATGGTCAAGAAAAAGTAAATTCAGTTTTGAACAGAAAAAAACTTTATTATTTTTTATACTTCTTCAAGTTCTTTCAAACGTATTATATCTTGTTGCTGAAGAAAATGAATTGGTAAATACACGTGTAACTTCTGTATTAAGATTAATTGATATCATATGTAGTATTTGTATTCTCTTCCCTTTAATCAAAACATTGAATTTACTGAAAAAAAATACTGGTACTGAAGCAAAAACATTAAAACAATATCAAAGATTTAGTAGATGTTATTCGATATTACTTACTATTGCTTATGTTAAAATATTACTTGCATATATTAATGATATTGCTTCAACAAGAGAATTTGATTTTATTTATTTGTCTGTTGATAAATCTCTTTATATTATTTATTCAATTTATTTAATGATTGCCTTTCGACCTAAAAAGATTATTTCATCATCTGATGAGCCAAAAGAATTAATGACAGAAAATACTTTCGATGAAACTAAGCAAGAAATTTCTAAAAATACAAAAAATTATCAACCAGAAGTATCACTAAATTCTTTTCCTACAGAAACATCTCAAAATGAAGAGATTAAAAGTGTAGTTTTACTTGACAATAATGAACACCAAGAAGATACATTGTCAACTACTCATAATAAAAATGATATTTGTGTTGAGCTTGAATAACTTAACTCATCTAACTCATTTTGTTTTTTAAATTGTTTTGACGTTTAGCTTAAATTTTTTTATCTTGTAACAAAATTCTCTGAAATACAATATATAAAAATAAGTTCCACTCATTTTTTCGCTTTTTTGATATTATTTTGTCTTCGAAATTGTATTTTTAAAAGAAGAAAAAAAATATTACAAATCATTTTATTTTTGAAAGATTAAACCGAAATATATTCTACTATTTTTTTCTATTTATTTATAGTTTTTTTTATTTGACGCTTCTATTCGTGGTGATGTGTGAATAACAAAGAACGAAAAGGAATCGTACAATTGTTATTTAAAGGAACTTAAAAAAAATAATTATATTTACATAATGTCTATATCAACAACAAAATCAGAATGGGTTCAAGCAGGAGGTCATGGTGGAAGTCATCAATTAGTACCAAATGGTGAATATTTGTTAAAGCCATGTCTTGCTCCAAGGGTTTGTTATTATTTTTATAAAGAGAATATTCAATTTTAGTTGAAAACAAAAATATGTTAATTTACTGTTTTCATTTGCATTTCCATCTTTTTGTAAAGAAAACAAAAAATAAAGAAAAGCAAAAATAGAATTGAAAAATAAGTTTATGAGAAATTGTTAATTAATATTTTTAGGAAAAAGCATTTTATTTAAAAATTCAAAATAATAAAGAATGGTGTGAAAGTGAAATTATTCCAAAATTTTATGGAATTGAAGAACATGATTTTGGTTATGGTGAATTTGAATTTATTAAAATGGAAAATTTAATGAACCAAATTAAAAAACCATTTGTTTTAGATTTAAAAATTGGTACACAAACTTGGGATCCAGAAACATCTTCTAAAAAAATGAAAAAAAGATTAATTGTTGACTCAACATCAACTACTACTTCACTTGGTGTTCGATTTAGTGGAATGAGACGTAATGTAACTGATAAACCAACTTTATATTCAAGATATTTGTGTACAAATGAAGTTAATACAAGAGATTCATTAAAAGAATATATCAAATTATATTTCTTTGATGGAGAAAAGTATAGAAATGATCTTCTTCCTTACTTTATTCAAAGTATTAGTAAAATGATTGATGTAATGAATAAAAAACAATTTAAGATGTTTTCTGCTTCTGTTCTTTTTGTTTATGACAGTGCTAGTAAATTTGAAGATCAAAAACATGCATGTAAAATTATTGATTTTGCTCATGCTTGGGATGTTACAGAAGAAGAGTGTAATGTAGATGATGGATTTGTTATTGGACTTACAACTTTAAAAATAATGTTCGAAGAATTACATAGTGAATTTAATTTATTGTAAATTTTATTGAAAACAAAAAATCTCTTTTCTTTTGATTAATTTTACTCAATTAAACAAACTTTTTAGGTTTCTTTTATAGGGGGGTTATTAAATATACATTAATCTAATTATTAAGCTATAATTTAAAAGATATTTTTAACAGGAAATTAAATACTTTATTTTTCTTTCTTTTAATTCATCCCATATTTTAATTTAAAAAACTTCTGTTTATATTACATATATTACTCTAATATCCAATATATTAAAGGAATTTAACAATTAGACTATAATATCAATTATTGTTATTACCAATAATAGTCATATCATTATTTTTATAATAATATTTAAATATATATTTTCTTTGAGTAATAGAGAAGTTATAACTGAAAAACTTAACAAAAACCATACTCTTAGACAACTCTTTATATTCTTATTTTCTTTACTTTGAAATTATAAATTATTTTATTGGGTATTTTTGTTACTTAAAATTTTTAGATAAAATAAATATAAAAAATATAAAGAATTTTACTAAAATTTCAAAAGAAGATAAATTATTGTTAAAATGAATCAAATTAAAAATATATATAGAATTATACTCTTTTTAGAATGTTTTTATTATCTGAATTATTTTTTTAACGAATAATAAAGAATATTGAAGTATTTTCAAAAACTTGATCCAAAAATGACAGTCAACATAAAGTTGATACATTATTAAATATAAATATTTAATAATATATAATAGAATGTAATAATAATTATTGTTATTATTAAAATAATAAGTGGTTTTTGAACGTTTTAAGAAATAAAAAATTGGATGTAAAATAATTAATTTGAATAGAATAAAATAAATTCAAAAGTAAATTACTCTTCTAACTTTTTCTTTGATTCAAGAATAACTTTTCCTTCTTTCATCCAATATTTTTCTTCAGGATGATTAGCTTTTTTCCACTCAGGATATTTAGCAGAAGCCTTTCTTAAATCTTCTACACAATCAGCTACCATTGTTTTTGTTGCTTTATTTACACACCAATTAGGAATCCATCCGTTCCAAGCATTCCAACTAAAGAAACTTAGTTTAGTACCTTCTGGAGTTTTTTCTATTACATAACCAGTTTTAAGACTCTTTGCACGAATAAAATCTTTTTCAACTGGTGCTTTTTCATGTTCAACTGAATGGTTAATAATAATAAATAATGATTTATCTTCATTAAACCACCAAGACCTCATATTGACCCAATCACGATTTTTTATAGTGAATGGCATTTTAACGCTATAATATCCTATTTCAGTATTTTCATCAATCTGTTCAACTAATCTTTCTGACTTCATAGACGAATCCCATTCTGTTCTATATGCTGGATCTTGTACAACATCATGAAGTACTTCTGCAGGAATATCATGTAATGCCATAGTTTTCAATTTAACTTGAAGGATTTCTTCATTTTCTGCCTATGAATATAAATATTCATACGAATAATTTTTTTCAAATCAAAAATAACAAACATCTCTAAATAACACTTTCGTTCCATTTTTGTCTTGTTTCACTTTCCATCCATCGTCATCATCAATTGTCTTTTTAAATTCCATAAAATCTTCTAATGAAGGGACAGGATATTTTGGATTGTTTGTTAATGTATACACATCTCCGTATAATTGAATCATCCAATCACTCATCCTTTATTTAGATTTCTTGAATATTATTTTCAAGTTCATTTAATGAAAGGGATAGGTTATTTATCTTTCACTCTCTTGTGTGTTTTTCTTCCTTTTTCATTCTATCATTTTATTAGACTCTTTTGTTTTTAATAACAAAAGATGATATGAAAAAATCATAAACTATTGAAATAACCTAAACAGAAGATTTAATTAAATGACGAGTCAAGGAATAAACCTTATAGGGGAAAGTATTTTGAATGAAGAGACAAAAAATGCCTTTAATGAAAATGGAAAACAATGGCAAATTGAATGTCCAATGTGCTTTTATCGTCATTCTTGTAATTTATCTAAACAAGTCATTCAATTAGATAAACTTAAATTATTATTTAATGGGGGAGAAATTAGTGTTGATGAAATTACTAAATTTGTTATTGAAAAGAAAACTAATGCTATTATCCTTCAAATTCATTGTAAAGACTCAGATGACAATGCATTTTTTTTAATACAGCAAGATTCAAAACCATTCATTGATGGATTAAAACAGGTTGGATTAATTGAAAAACGAAGAGCACGTTATGATTCATCTCCAGGAAGTTTCACAGAAAAAGTTGACATATATCTTAAACAATTAGAAAATGAAACAAAAGAAGAGAGAGAGAAAGTTATAATAGAAGATATAATAACACCTCATAATGAAAAAGGTCGAATTGTTTTAAATGAACATAAACACCAAACATTAAAACAACGAAAAGGAAATAAAAGTAAAATAGAAAAGAAAGGATTAACAACAGAATGTATTGATCTTGTTGAAGAAGAAGAAATTGATTTGGCTTTGCATAATGACTCTAAAAAACCTCATCCGACAATTAGTCTAAGAAGAATTACAAGAAAATTATCAAAGGAAATTGATGATAGAGAAGGTGTTGAACTTTTTAGATATAATTCAATTGCTATTTATGATGTAGACATAAAACGTGTTAGAGGGGATATGTTAAATGATATTATCATTAATTTTTATATTGAATTTCTTCAAAATGAACTACAACAAAAGCAGTACTACTTTTGTAATTCATACTTCTGCAGAAAATTAGAAAGTGGTAATTTTAATGAATTAGTTCGATGGGTGAAAGAAGATTGGTTCCAGAAGAAGTTTATTTTTATTCCTCAATATCAAGGAGATGGAAAGTCAGGTCATTGGTATTTATTTATCGTTTGTTGTCAAATGTATAAAAAAGGAGAGGAAAAATCTAAAAAATCAAAAGAAAAAACACCGTCTAAAAAAAATGATGATAGTTTTGAATTGGATCCTTGCATTCTTGCTATTGACAGTATGCCACAAAATGATTCAAAAATTGGAATCATCAAAAAATTAAAAAGGTTTATTGCTTCGTTATCTAAAGAAGGTATTCACCAACTTGACAAAGTTGTGGTTGACGCTCCTCGTCAACGAAATACTATTGATTGTGGTGTATTTATGTTATACTTTATTGATAAAATTGCAAGAACAAATCCTGCTACATTATTAGAATTAAAAAATTGTTTATTATTAAATGAAGCATTAAATTTTAGGGAAGTTATTGAAGATGCATTGACTATAGCCTCTGTGACACAATAATTGTATTATTTTTTTTTGTTATTTATTACAACGCTCTAAATTAAATTACTTTTTAATTTAAACAGATTGAATCTCCATATTATAATAACTTTTCTTCATGAAAAGACAAGATGATTTAAGAAAAATTATTTGAACAGAATGATAAGTTTATACCAATGGAACAACAAAGTATTCAAATTCAACTTGAACATATTGACAAAAAACCAATTAAATTGTTTGATAAATTTCCTAAAACCATTGTAGAAGCTTTAATGTGTAATCAATTTATTAAAGAACCTGCATTAACAATTAAGGATGATAACAAAACTACAATTTCTTGGAAATCGTTGATTGAGTCATCTTTTCAATGTGCATATTCATTAATAGATATTAAACACCAATATCCAATTCGTTCAGAAAAATCAGTTATTTTGTGTATGAATAATTGTAAAGAATCATTTGAAATTTGTTATGGGTGTTTTCTTTGTGGACTTATTCCAATATTTATATCACCAAAGGTTTCAATAATAGAGATAAATAAAGTAATTCAATCAAGTAAAGTCATAGTGTGTTTTTTTGATTATCATCAAAAAAACAAATTTGAAAGAATTCAATCTGATTGTGACACTAAAATGGTTGTTGTAGGAACAAAAAAAATGTCTAATCCAACAATTCAATCATATTTAGATTTTATTCGATTGAAAGAAGAAAATGCTGAAATTCAACAACAAAAACAAAAAGAGATACAAATAATTATTGAAAATACAAAACCAGAAGATATTTGTGAAGTTGTTTACATACCAAATGAAGAAGGGGGATTAAAAGGTGTAATATGGAGTCATAATAATATTATTTGTGAATGTTATTACTTAAATGAAATCTTTTTATTTGGTGAGAAAGAACGCTATTTTCATTTCTTATCAAATAGCTTCTTTTTTGAAAGGATTATGACTTTTTACATAGCATTATTATTTCGATTTCATATTTTCATTGGAACTCCCGAGTTAATGAGGAAAAATGCAAATGGATTGTTTATTTTAATGAAAAAAGTTTGTCCAACTATTATGTTAGGAATACCTAGAATATATGAAAAAATTATTGAAAAGATGAAACAAAAGAAAGGAAGTTTGAATGAATGGGCAATGAAAAATGCTCTATGTGGAATTTCTCAATTAGAGGATGGAGGTCATAAACAAAAAAGGTATGGATTTGCTATAAAGGTTCTTAAAAGAAATCTTAAAAAAATTGGACTTCACAAAACTCGAATTTTGCTTAATGCTATTAATCCTTTAACACTAGAGATGATAAATGAATTACATGAAATAGGACTATCAGTTTATGATGGTTTATGTCTTCCAGAGACAACAGGGTATTGTTGTATCAATAGAAAGAAATGTTATTGTGCACATTCTCTTGGGTCAAGTTTAAGTGAAGACATTTCAATAAAAATTTTTGAGGGAAAAATTATTGTTGAAGGGCCAACTGTTGCATGTGGGTACACTGAACAAGCACAAAATAAAGGTTGGTTCACAGAAACAACATTTTCAAGTATTTTTAAAGGAAGGATAGAAAAAAAAGAACATAATGATTTTATTTTTGTAGAACAGACATTAATTCCATTGATTATTACAAAAACAGGAGAATGGGTATATCCATTACCAATTGAAGAACAACTAAATACAATTACAACAGTTCGTTGTTCAATGGTTGTTGGTGATAATGAAAAATTCATTGGATGTGTTTTATTCACAACACCACAAGAAGTAGAAGCAGAACTGAAAGAAAAAGCTCCTTCACAAGAAAATATTGGAAAAGACCCATTTTATGGTGCTTATCTAAAAGAGAGAATAGAAAAAATTAATGTGAATTTATCAAAAAGTAATAAACTCAAACGGTTTGTTGTATTAATTGATTCAACTATAGAACCACCACTAAGTGATGAAAAACGTCAACAATTATTAAATAAATATTCGCATCATATAGGACTATTATTCAAATCATTAAATTAGAAAACTGAATATGACTAATTTTGGTTTTATTACAACTAAAAAACGGTTACTGAAGCAATAATAAAATTGAATTACAAAATATTTTCATTAAAAGAAAATAATTAAAGATCTTTACAACCAAAGAAAGTAATAACGAATGAAAGATTTTATAAACTATTTGTTAAGATATATATACAATTTTATCTTCCTATTGCTCTGTTTCATTTTCTCTAAGTAATGAATATACGCTAATTACTTTTGTTTCTTTTGGACGTTCAAGAGCAAATTCATCAAAATACCCCCAATTTCCACCACAATAATTTGTTGAAGGTAATTGTTTTATTTCATCTATGGTTGGAGATTTTCTTCGTTCGAGTGTTGCTTGGTATCGAGGTATTAAATACCTTTTAATCAATTTTGAAGTCATTGACTTTGATGACACTAATTTCTTTGAAGCCTAAAAGATTAATGAATTTATATTCTCAATACAATGATTTATAATATATTGAATATTGTTTGTTCTTATGAAAAAAGTGTATGTGTAAAGAATTCTTAAACAAAAACAAACAATTGGAGTTACTGATGTAAAATATTCATTCCAATGATCAACAACCTCAAAATATCGGTCTTTTGAATCAAAATCAAATTCCCTCGGAATAACTAAATCTTCAATTCTAATAATTTGATTTGCTCTTGTCACAGAATACCACCACCTAGTTGATCTTGGTGGAATAGTTAATGTTACTGTCCACACATGGTTTGTGTTCCAACTCATTTTTCTAGTGAATTAATTTTCTTTATCTTCAAAAACAATATTTTTCAAACTTACTCATTCCATTATCAAAGTTAACAATAAGTTCTTCTCCATATTGTGTTATATAATGAATTGATAACGATAATGTAATTATATGTTCCATGGTGTGTTAGTACAAGTTACTTGTTTTTGGTCTTTTCAAGTATAAGTACTAAACATGAAGTACTTTTACAAAGACCTTCACTATATTTAGTATGCATTTTTAAAAATTAAAATTTGAATTAATATTTAGGGTTTTTTATTAACAGTTAACTTTGTTTCCTTATGCTCAAATTAACAAGAATCTTAGATATTTTCTTCGTATCTTTCAGTTTTGTCTTCTTTTTTTTCTTTTCAACAAAATATCAATTCAAAAAATCATTGAATTTCTTTTAATCACTAAATTTTAAAAAAGTGAAAGGAAAATACGAGATTGTTCCTCTTTTCATTTCTCTTAGATTTATAGGTTATAAAGAAATATTTAATCCAAGTTTTTCTTTTTTAAAGAAAGTTACTCTTATACAAAATGGATCCTTATTGTTATCGTATTTGTCAATTCTATACATGTGTTAAAGTCACAAATTTGAATAAAACAATCACTCCACTAAAACTAATGAATTTATTTGAACATTGTGGAGATATTGTGTCTATCAGAATATCGTTTGCTTTTTTTTTTCCTATTATCTCTTTTTTATCACTTTTGCTACTAATATAATCTAATTATAATAGAAAGTTATTAAATGGGAATAAATGGGCAATTATCAATTTTGGAGAATCTAAGGCAGTTGAACTCGCTGAATTATTGTCTGGATCAATGTTTGAAGACAGACTAATTAATGTATATGGTTGTACTTTAGGAAAAAATGATTTTGATAACACAGAAGAATTTTATTTTGGTAGAAATTTACCATTGTCTACTAAAGAAAAAAATACTCTTAGCAACACTTCTATTCGTGTTGAGTCAAATGGAAATTCTTATTTTATAAACACTTCAAACCATATCATTAAAGGAAAGAAGTGTTTATCTTGTGATAACTTTAAAATTAGTTTTAACACTGAAACTGGTATGTTAGAATTACTTGAAAATTCAGAAGAAATAATACATGACAATCATAAAGAGTTTGACTCTAAACGAACAAAAAGTTTTGATGAAAATTCAATAAATGAAGACATTTTTAATGATGATAGTTTAAATTCCCAATATGAACAGAATTTTGAATTATTAAAAGAAGAGATGAATACATTAGATTGGTGGAATAATATTGAATTTCCTATTCCTTCTTGGTTTCGTGTAAACAAATCTTAAATTAAAAGTTACTTTTAATTCATGTATTTGTAACATTGTTTATTTTATTATTTTAATTGAATAAGTCAAACATTTATCTTTCAAAATTAAAAACTTTTAAACTTTAAAAAAAGTTAAATCTTTTCATTCTTTAAAAAAGATCTAACTAACAGAAAACTCAAAATCAATAAAAAATCAAACATGTCTAATAGATGTCCAGTATGTAATAAATTTGCTTATGCTGCTGAATCTTGTAATATTAATGGTACATTTTATCATAAATCTTGTATGAAATGTAAAGTATGTAATTGTAACCTTTCTATTTCAAGTTATAAACTGTTAAAAGGAACAAACGAAATTTATTGTTCTGTCCATCTTCCTCAACCAAAAAATCTTCAGGCAGCTACAACTTTAGAAACAATGACAGCTAAACAATGTCATAGACCAGAGCTTGTAAATAAGAATATCCAAGGTGGTGTTGAACAACGAAGAAATCTCCAAGCTACTGATACCCTTGACATTCAATCAGCTCAACGAACTAAAGGAGTATTAGTAAATAGTCAAGTCCGTGGGTGCTGTGAACAAAGAACAAATACTGGAAGTATGGGTCTTGCAGAAAGAAATGCTATTGCACAGTCAAAGTCATCACAATCACTTGTCAACGGTCAAGTCTATGGTGGGTCAGACCAAAGAACAAATACAGGTAAATTGGGAATTGCAGACGTTAATGCTATTGCACAATCAAAGTCATCACAATCACTCTACAACGCTCAAGTTAGAGGTGCTGGTAGAAATTGTCAAGCAACTGAAAGTATAGAAATTGATCATATCAAACAAGCTCCAAAAGTTGGTGTCATTCAAAATCCACAGATTAGAGGAACAAAATAAATATTTTGTTTTATTTAACATGGTTTTTTTTAATTTAGTAGTTTAATTAATGATAAAAGTATTAATAAAGACATAATTATAATAGAACTTAAAAAAGAGTCTAAAATCAGTATTTACTGATGCCTATAGAAAAAGAATTTCTTCAAGTACTTGTAGAATTTCTTGACAATGAAACAAGAAAGAAAATGATGTTTATTAATAAAAAAATTCAGCAAGTAATTCTTTGTGACAAAACATTTAGAGGTACAATTGATGAAGTATCTAAAGAATATAGCCATTGTTCACAAATTACTAAAGTGATAATGACAACTGAAAAAGAGTATTGTAGTTCATTTAATTGTTTATTTCTACCACAATTGAGAGAACTAGAAATTAAAAGTTCTATAAATGAAAGTCAATTATATGACCTTCTATCTGTTGTGAAAGACATAGAATTAAAACGTTTGTCTATTAAATCAATTTCTTCAATTACATTTGAAGAACCAATAATTGATTTACTAAGTTGTTTAACTTCATTAACTGAGTTCGAATGCTTTGAACCACTTACATTTTCTACACAAGCAGTATCTGTCTTAGAAAAATTGGAGAAGTTAACAATATATTGTGAGAATGACATTTCATTTATTACTAACTTAAAATATTTAAAGAATTTAAAAGTATATTCTTCAAATGAAAATGTGTTAAATTCATTAATCAATAATATAAAATTTATGAGTCTCACTTCAATTGATATTCATTCATTACCTTGTATTTCTCAAACTTCATCATTAGATGAATTAGTATTACATTCATCTCTTTCAAGACTAGTACTTCCTATTTCATTAGAAATTATTTCTTCATTAACCTCTCTTACACCAACAAATAAATCATACTTTTTTTATATCAAACCTTCTGATACTCTTCCAATATCAATTACTATTGACAAACCTTTATCAATACTTCCTTGTAAATTTTTCTTTTGTTTTAATCTTCCTATTTCTTTAGGTTTAGTTCACTCAAAATTAACTAATGAACAACTGTTATTCATATTAAAAAATAATATCCTCTCTTCTCCAATTATCCAATTGTTTATTGATAATTCACCTTCATTAACTTCTTCATTATTTACATCAAATACTTTTACATCAATTCAACGTTTATACCTTAATGAACAACCATTCTTAGATATTTCTTCTTTTACAACTTTAAAAGGATTACAATTATTAGTACTTTCAAAAACTTCTTATCCAACTCAATTACTCCCTCTTCCATCAGTAAAAACACTTTCATTACAATCAGTTAATAATTTTACATCATTTACTTCTTTATCAAATTTTCCTTCCTTAACTGCTCTTGAACTTTTTGACATTCCAAGTAAATGTTATCTTGATGGTTCTTTAAAATATTTTACACACATTAACTCTTTGATAATAGAACCATTGTCTTATGAACGACTTTCTTTACAACATGTCTCATCAATTCATGACTTAGTCTTATATGATCAAAACTCAAAACTTCAACCTCATAACTTTGATTTCTATTTGACATACATAACTTCTTTAACGATCCAAAAATTCCTTAATATCAAAGACTTCTCTTTTATCAACAACGCTAAGTCATTATGTTCTTTAAATATTACAGAATGTCCCCTACTTGATCCTTCTTCTTTGAAACAATTAACTCAAATAACAACTTTAACAAAATTAAAGATTCGTCAAAAAATGATTAAAGAATTAACTTATTCTATTAATAAAGAATATTCATTCATTTCCTCATTATCTTCACTTCAAAAAATACAATTGGCATTACCTACTTCTTATGAAATACTTTGTCAAATATTTCATTGTAAAAATATTGTCTCAATAGATTTTTTCTCTTGTTTATGTAATGACAAAAATCCAGTTGACCCGTTATTATTTGTTCCTGCTTTAACATGTTGTCATTTAAAGAAACTGTCTTTTCCCAATGAAATGAGAGTAAAACAATGTACTTTATGGGATATTATTAAGAAAGAATTTTTATTAAAAAATATTGTTTTAAATGACAATTATTAACATTTTTTGTTTTGTTTTTTTTTTAATTTTATTAAAATAAAATGATCTTAAAAATAATCTTAAAAAATAGAACATCAAGGAGGAATGGAAAAAGAAGAGCATAGCCTTATTATTCAAAGACAACACCAGGAGTTAGCAATGATTAGAGAAGAGGTTAATAGAAAACTTGAAATTCTTCAAAAATCAGTTCAAATTAATCAATCAACTCTTCAACAAATGATAAGTTATGAAACTACAACAAAGAAAGAGATGATTGAGAGGTTACGTAATGAGCTATCTGTAAATAAAGAAAATGAAGAGACTGTTAATAACTTTGATAAGTTATTAAGTTCTTTTATATCTGTTCATGAAGATGGAAATCAAAAAATTAATAATTGCATAAATGACACTATAAACGATTTCAATAGAATAAAAAATGATATGTTGATTAGTATTGACATATCATTAAGGTCATTAGAAAAAAGGTTATATAATTATGAGTCTCATTTTATTGAAATAGAAACTTTTCAAAAGAAAGTAGGCAGCTTCAATCCACATAATATTACTTTAAGATTCGTTGATGGGGATATTAGTTTAGATGAAAAGGTAACTAAAAATGATAGATTTAAAGGAACTTTGTTGGAAGAATTTTTGGCAGCTTCAGAAAATCAAAACAAGGATAGTTCTGATCTCAAAGTTGTACAAGTCAATAGAAGCAAAGAATTCTTTAAATACATTCTTTCATTCATTACTGATAATGAAATAGTTATAGGAGAAGGAAGTATAGCTTCTCTTCAAGCAGCTTCAAATGAATTAACTGCTTACGGAATTAAACCAGAAGAAATCTATCAGTCAATGAGACATGCCATCACTTGTTATTCATTGGAGCATTCCGATCAATCAGATGAGGTATTATGTAGTGCACTAGGATTGTCTCAATTTACACAACTATTTTCCCTTCAAAAAGCTTGTTTACAAGCAAAAGAAGAAGAAAAAGACTTTGCACAAAAATTATTAGAATGCAAAACGTTTGCTGAAGCTACCACCGTTCTTCAAAAGACTGTCACCAACAGACAATTGAGAATTGAACAGATGACTTCCCAACAATTAATTAATTTTATTATCTCTGCTCTTCCCCAACGCACTTCAGTTGATTTCAAAGTCTCAAATACAAATTTGTTGTGTCAAGGAAATAGTGTTACAAATAGACTACATAAACAGTTCAATGTAGCTATGATTCCAGAAATAGTCTCAGCATATACTATTAAAGTTGTTGCACCTGGAAGTTCAGGTATTGGAAATGCAATGTACATTGGTTTTTCTTATGCACCATTATCAAACCCACCTAAAGATCAACAATGGGTCAAATTAGGTTATTACATGTCAATCTATAATGGCAACCTCTATTCTGAGAAAGTTACTCCAAATAGTGGAAATCATGTCTATTATAATAAAAGAATCACTCGTGATGATTTAGTGGTTTGTTGGTACTCTCGTATAACAAGAAGTATTGGATTCATTGTAAATGGAGTTCAATTAGGTCCTGCATTTGTTGGAATTACTCAACTAAACTTATATCCAATTTTAGTTGTTTACGAAGTTGAACAAACATTTGCAGTTGATAAAATATTACCAATTCAATGAATTAATTTCTATTTTTGTTTTTCAGTTTTTTTCTTTCTCTAATTATACGAATATAACTTCTTAATAACAACAAATGAATGAAAATGAAAGAATTTCAAAGAGGAAGTAATCCTGCAGAAATTATCAATTTGTCAATAAATAATGAACAACAATATTTAATGAGTTATTGTAGTGATTATGAAATAAGTATTTTTGAAATGAATGGGAAAGTTAAAGGGAAATCGAAGTGGTATACTGGAGGAGAACAAGCGTTAGCAAGTATTAAAGTAGAGAGTACAAGTATAAATGCATTTTTTATAAGAAAAGATGAGATAGTAGTAATTGATGGAAGAGGAATATATCAAAGATATTTTATCAAAGAAGTAGATATGTCTAAAATAAAAATTGAAGGAGAAGGAAAGATAGAAACACTATTTGGAGTGAAAGTTGAAGAAATAAGTTAAAAGGTATTATTAAAATTTGTTGAAAGTTAAAGAAAAAAAAAAGAACTGGAAAAAGGATATGATAAAAGGGATAATAGTAATAATGATAATAATAAGTATTCAAGGATTATGTCTTGGATATTCAACAGAAGAAGAGGAGAATATTGGATGGGATGGAAAAGAATATAAAACAAAAGAAGAAGTAATTAAAGCAATAAAAAGACAAGAGAAAAAGATAAAAGAAAAAGAAAAGATAAAAGAAAAAGAAATGAAAAGAATTAATGATGAAAATAACAAATTTGAAACTACTTCAAAACAAAAAAGAAAAAATCGAAATGAAAGAAGAAAATTAATACGAAAATTAAAAGAGTCTAAAATCAAATTATTAAATTATCAAGAACTACTTAAAAATTTTAATTAATTTTTACTAATTTCAAATATTTATTCTCTTTCATTTCAATTACAATGAAATTCTTTTTTCGATATAGTATATATCAAATATTAGTATCATTATTGTTGTATAATATTCTTGGTTCTTATAAAAAAACAACTATCAAGAAATAAGTATTTAAGAACATATAAGAGAATGAATGTCAATAACAATAAAATGTATAATAAGAATAGTAAAAGAAATACAATGAAAATGAATAAGAAAAGATGAGTTAATATAAAGGTAATAAAGATAACATCAATAAGAAATATAGAATAATATCAATGAATGAAATTAAAGTGAAAAAATAAGAAAAAACAAGTAAATTGAAAAAGGAGAAGTTGAAGAAATAAATCAATCATAATTAATTAGTTTAATTTATTATTTAATTACATATATTTGATTATAAATTAAATAATTATATAATTTTTATACTTTAATCTGTATTATTTAAGAATAGTTTGTATTTATTGTTTTTCTTCCTTATTTAATTATTTATTTTTATTCTCTTTTAAGATGGTTCGAGTCAAAATGAGTAGATAAAACTACTACAGTAAAAGCATGGAAGTCCATCAATATTAAGAAAAATGCAAGTTGAAGCAATACTCAGTGGATATAGAAAAGCAAAAATAATGAAAAATGAAAGATTGAAATACTGCCCACTTTGTAAAGACAAGATAGCAACAGTACAACACATTCTCCTATCTTGTATTGGTAATAATAAATCACAAATGAAGAAAAATGATAGCATTGCCATTATAATATGGGATTGATTAATAAGAAAATATACATGAAATAACCAATATAAAATCCCCATATGAAACAATATTCTAAAATAAAGACATTACTATGATATTGAACAAACAAATAATGCCTAAAAGTGAATGACAATATCACAAAATACCAGATATATATATGTATTAGATAAAAAGAATAAAACTAGTCTATTATTTGATATGACTAATGTTGCTGATCACAATATTAATGGAGAATAAATGAAGAAATGAATATGTACAAGGAATTAAAGAATATGCCAATGAAAATAGAGAAAATAAAAGATGTTAAAATAAATCGAGTAGTAATTTCAATTAATGGTTTAATAAATAAAGAAAGTATTAGATTAATCAAAGAATTAACAATTGAGATTAACATCATTAAAGAAGCTAAAAAATATTGTAATTAAAAACATGATGGATGTCATGGAATATTGCTTCTATCATAATCAAACATACTCAGTAGAAATACTATAAGAAGATGAAGTGAATAGATTAGTATCCACTGATTCAGGAATAATAGAAGCTACTTTTATTAACATTTAATTAATTGCTTTTTATTTTATTTTTATTTCATTCACTTTTCCTTTCTTCATATATCTTTTGTGTTGTTATTTCTTATTTTTATCTTTCCATTTATTTCTTATGACCATAATAATCATAATATTTTTGATTAGCAATTTTTATTTTATCATCAAATGATATTATTATAATGAATAAGTTTGAATTAACAACAAAACAATAGGAAAGAGTAATGTTATAATAGAATATTTTATGAACTTCAAGCATAACTGATGAAATATTATAAAATCAGAATATAAAAAACAGAATATGACAAATAACATTAGGAACAAGTAATACAAGCATTGTATTGATTTCATTAAGAGAAAATGAAATAAAACAAACATAAGATATTGTTAATATTCTGATTGATATTTATTCATAACAAATAATTGTTTTTTAAATATTTTGTTTATTTTTATAGAGTAAAGTCTTCAAGAAGAAATTTAAATTATTTCTGAAATAATTAATGGTGTTATTTTGTTTTAATAACAATTAATAAATAAACAACCAAAAATGATTATTTTGTTCAAACTTAATAATATTATATTTAATACTCTCTTTATTCCATATGTTCATATATTCAAAATGAAAGTTTCAATGAACATTGAGAGTGTTAAACGTACTATAATTAATTATGAATTTAATGATGAAAAAATAAGAAAGAGATGAAGTTTTCTTTTCATTCTTTAGTTGATTGAATTAAACATCAGAATTATTCACGAACATTGTTTATTTTAATTATTTACAATTTCTAAATTAAAAGTTGTTTGTTGTTTTATTATCAAGTTGTTAAACATAATCGATTTATTTATATTTTAAACACAAATGAAAATAAAAGAACGAAAAAAGCAAATAATGGAACAAGAAGAGAAAGATATAAAAGAATAAAAAGAAAGTATGAAGTAGAAAAAAAAGAAGAAAGAATAAAGATACAATTATGAAGTTAGGAAGATAAAATAAAAGAAAATAAAGAGTAATAAAAGAAAATAGATAATAAAAGAAGAAAAGAAGAAATAAAATTTTATTTTTATTGTAAAAATTAGAAATATTCAATAAAAAGTGTCTAGTCTAATGATGTAAAATAATTGGTATTATTTTATTGTTGAAAAATATTTTATTATTTTTATGTTTATTATTTATGTGTATAATTTCATTATGATTTTATTATATATTCAGTAATATGTGTTATGTTATTATAACATGTAACATGTAACAAAATATAAATGAAAATGATATGAATATATGATATAGAATATAAAAACAAAAGAATAAATGATAAATAAATATAGAAATGATAATAAATGATATAATAATATAGAGATAATCAGATGATATAAATAATATAAATCAAATCAGAATAAATATAAATCGAAAGTACATCTAAATGATAATAATATAAAAGATGAATAAGATGAATAAACACATAAACAAATATATCTAAATAGAAAAGAATAACAATAAGAAATTCTAAATAATATAAATAGAAAAAACATAAAATAAGAAGAATATAATAATATATAGATAAACAGAGAAATAAATATATAAAAATAAGATGCATAAATAACATATAAAGAAAATAATAAAAATAATAGAAATAATTATGATTCATCAAATAATCTATTTCATTAATATTTCATACAAATTGAATATAAATGATTATAAAATATAAACATAAATATTTACAATTCCTGTATTTATCATATTTTTTTTTTATTTTTATTTTTTTTAGGAGCAAAATATAATAAGTGGAATATTCTATGGATGCAAATTTTTTTGCATCTTTTTTATTTTTGCAAATTATTTAGATTCATTTTTCTTTGCTAATTTTCGTACCCGTTTTATTTCTATTATTATATGGTCTTTTCAAACATTTTCTACTTAAATATTAATCATTTGTTTTGCCATCTGTTTTTTTATTTGAGTTTAATGAATTAATTTCACTTATTCTTTATATTGCTGTTTTATGAAGAATATGTAATTAATAATATAACTCTGTTTTATCTCATTCAATACCAACAATCAATTATCAATCACTTTTCTTGATATACCCCATCTATGTTCAATTCAAGAGTATCTTTATTAAATATACTTGAATGTTGATAAATAAATATTACTATAATAATAAATATCAATTCTTATATTAAAACAAATAAATTCAAACATATTTTCTTATTTCATTCTTTCTATTATTATTTATTATATTTATTATTAAATTAATTCATCATATTCAATTATTATTTGTTATTTCATTATTTGATTTTGTATTGATGTTTGTGTGTTGTTTCTGATTTTCATTCTTCATTTCTCATTCATTTTCATTTAATAAAATAGAAGAATAAAAATAATGAAAGAAGATAAATAAAATAAGAATAAAATAAGATAAAATCAATGATATTGTTATTATATTATTATGTTATTTTAGTTTTGATTTTATATTTATTATTTTATTTTTATCTTTTATAAACATCATTCATTTCTTCTTTTTGTCAATTCCTCTTTTCTAAACATCACTAATTTATTCTATTTCTTTCCATTTCATTCTATTTTCTTTATTCTTGTTGTTATTTTATTTAGTTTATCTTTTATCATTTGTCATTTCTTGTTTATTCATGTTTGTTGTATATTTTATTATTATTCTTTATTTTATGTTGTGTTATTCTTATTTATCTTTCTTATTATGTTTTGTTTATTATTGTTTAAATAGAAAATAAAATCAATTAATTAAGTATTAATAGAAATAGATTCTATTCTTCCTGGCTCAGGGGAGACTAATCCCGTCCCTTCGTCTTCTTCTTCTAGTAGCTCTACGGAGTATGTTTGGTTGTAATAGAAGCAGTATTCCATGACATCCATCATGTTTTTTATTACAAGGTTTTTAATTTCTTTCTCGATGTCAATGTTAATTTGTAATTCTTTAATTAATTTATTACTTTCTTTATTTATTAATCCATTTATTAAAATTACTACTCGATTTATTTTAACATCTTTTATTTTTTTCTATTTTCATTAGAATATTCTTTAATTCTTTATACTTATTTCTTTTCTTCATTTATTCTCCATTAATATTGTGATCAGCAACATTAGTCATATCAAATAATAGACTAGTTTTGTTCTTTTTATCTAATACATATATGTCTGGTCTTTTGTGATATTGTCATTCACTTTTATGTATTATTTGTTTTTCAATATCATTGTGATGTCTTTATATTTGAACACTGTTTCATATGGGGGTTTTTTATATTGTTTATTTCCTGTGTATTTTCTTATTAATCAATATTATAATGCCATTATTGTCATGTTTTTCTATTTGTGATTTTTTATGATAAATACAAGATAGTAGAATGTGTTCTACTGTAGTTATTTTGTCTTTATAAAGTGTTTAGTATTTCAATCTTTCATTTTTCATTATTTTTGCTTTCCTATACCCACAAAATATTGCTCCATCATTCATTTTAGTTAATTGGAGGAATGCATTCTTTTTAATATTGATGGACTTTTATGCTTTCACTGTAGTAGTTTTATCTACTCCTTTTGACTCATTCCATCTTCTAAAGTGTCACTTGTTTGATGACACTTCCATTTTTTGATGTATTTGTTGGTCAATAATTTTTTATTTCTACTACTACTTCTTTTTCTTTTTTCTTTTCAATATTT